TCCCTAGCTGAGACTCTGGGGGTGTGTGTGTTGTCTTCTCACTTCAGGTCTCTACTGATGGTAGTTCCATTATTCGTTGTAATGGACCAATTTTACTCTGCACCCTGGATTACAGGCAAATCTTAGAATTGAGCAGCTGACGTGTATTTCATCAAAAAGGGCTTTATTGCTGCCTTGCTCTAGTGGAGGAGTTTTGGAAAACCACAACCTAGGAATTGTGATTGACACATTATTGCCCCTGAGTCACCTTTACCTGGGCTTTGGTGTTTTCACGTTCTCCAGTCAGTCCCTGAATCACCCGATTCAGCTCCACAATTTCATTCTTTGCGTTACACAAGCTTTGGTTGTGTTTACTGGTGGTTTCTCTCGGTTCCTCATACTGAGGAGAGAGAAAACACAATGAAAATAAATACCAGATGAGGAGATGAGTCAGTAATTAAACCTACTATGTGATTCTGGAGCCACAGTCCCGGATCTTGAGATTTAAGGCAAAACCCTTCGTCACTGGGGGACACGAGTGACTCATTTACACAGGAGCAGCTCTGTGTGTGGAGACATTAAGAATGGACGTATCACCCATAGGGAAAACACAGCAGGTGGCCAAGAAAGGAAACCTTTAAAAAGCCTATTCGACCCCAATTAGGAAATCTGAAGCAGAGCCCTTAGCAGAAATGGGGCATAACTACTTTTGTGAGTGTCCATCATGACTCATCTTGCTGTAGTACCAGGGCTCTGCATCATCCTGGCTTCTTTTGGCAATCAGTGATAAGATTTGAGAGCCACAAAGATGATCAGAAGGTTGGAGCACCTCTCTGCTGAAGAAAGGTTGAGGGAGCTGGGCTTGTTGAGCTTGGAGAAGAGAAGGCTCTGGGGAGACCTCATTGCAGCCTTCCAGTACTTGAAGGGAGCTTAGAAACAGGAGGGACTTTTGATGTGGGCAGCTAGTGACAGGACGAGGTCAAATGGTTTTAAACTAAGAGAGAGGAGATTTAGGTTGGATATTAGGAGGAAATTTTTCACTCAAAGGGTGGTGAGGCACTGGAACAGGTTACCCAGAGAACTTGTGGATACCCCATCCCTGGAAACATTCAAGGTCAGGTTGGATGAGGCCCTGGGCAGCCTGATCTAGTGGTTGGCAACCCTGTCCACAGCAGAGGGGTTGGAGCTGGATGATCTTTAAGGTCCCATCCAACCCAAACCATTCAATGATTCTATGATAATGTCACCCATGTCCAGGCTTCTGCTGTTGTCCGTTTACACAAGAACAGAGGTGTTTGAAATGGATGCCTGGAACTGATTAATTTCCTAAGGACAGCAGCAAGATTATCAGTCATCTGCACTGAAGGTGTTTTCCCTGCAGATCTCCATAGCAGGGAGACAAGGAGTTATGGTTTGCTCCACATACCATGACTTCAGGCTCACTGCAGAAAACACAGAGAGGGATTTTCTGGTTTAATCTCTCTGGATCCCACCTTCACCATCAAGTTGAAATAGATTCCTTAGGATCTTGTCTGTGTAGCGCAAGAGGAACACATTTGAAATCCAAGCAATCAACTGAAGTACGTGTGAAACATCAAAATCTTTGTGATCTTTAGTGATGGGCTGTGGGACCCTAACTCCACATGAAAATCCCTTCTTGGCCCCACTGAAGGCTTCCTTTTACTCTAAGGTGGTGCAAAATGTCCTCCTCATAAAGCCCAAACAGGTCCTTACTACAAAGTCAGGCTGTGAGTTTTGGCTGCTGTTGCTGGTAAGCGTTTGGCAAATGCATTCTTTGTCTTGGATGTGCCGTATGGCAGCTTGTTAGAGCTCTGCAGCTGTGGTGCCTGATGAGCTGGGCATCTCTTCTTGTGTCATAAATGACAAGTGCAAATTCGTTATTGAGGGTCTTGATCATAGAATCATCAAATGTTGTGAGTGGGAAGGGACCCACAAGGATCATGGAGTCCAACTCCTGTCCCTGCACAGGACAATCCCAATGTTCAGCCCATGTCCCAGAGGGCCTTGGCCAAATGCTGCTGGAATCTTGTCAGGCTTGGTGCCATGAGCACCAACCTGGGGAGCCTGTTCCAGTGCTCCACCACCCTCTGCCTTAAGAACCTTTTCCTCATGGCCAACCTCACCCTCCCCTGCCACATCTTCCTGCCATTTCCCCTGGTCCTGGCATTGGTCACCAGAGAGAAGAGATCAGCGCCTGCCCCTCCTCTGCCCCTTGGTCTGCTCCTTTTTGGGTCCATCTCCAGCTTTAGCAGCTGGAGCAGGTGCTCATTGAGTGTGACTTTGGCAACGGGTGTTCAGACCCCCCAGGGCTCCACCAACCCTGCAGCCACAGCCAGCACCTCCATAGCCAACCCCGTGCTTGAGTTAAGCCGTCCAATAATGAAAAAAACCCAGGCTCTGCAATGAAAAGCAGAAATTTCACTTTTTTTATGTCCCAGGAGAACAGACTTTGACTGCACAACCAGCCCCAAAAGACCAATTTGAAAGATGTTGATGAGCTTTAGGTGGTTTGGTGATACCCCACTCGTATCTTTTGTCGAGTAGTGACCTGAGGTGCTTTCAAGCTCACACCTATCTTTGAGTTATAGGCTGCATTTCTAATTTGAATGAGAGGGAATCCCTGATCCCATAAAAACCGCATTTGGAAACCTCCCTTTTTTTATTGTAAGCATGAAAGAGAGAAGCAGAACCATCCTTTTGATGTTTGCAGGCCACTGGGAGCGAGGGAAGGAGCGTTGCTTTGTCTTACATGTGGGAAAAGAAGAATCTGAGTTAAACTCTTGGGAATATTCTAGGGCTCCA